TCCTATATTTTTATTTTATACTGATAATTTTAATTTTGTATTTGTAAATCAATGTATTTTTTGTATTGTTATATTTAATGGTAATTTATTATGTACTATTGTATTTCAATGTATTTTATCATGTTGTAAGCCGCCCCGAGGTTTCGGCAAGGGGCGGCATAGAAATGTTATAATAATAATAAAATAATAATAATGTACGTGCCAGGCAAGACTGCTCTTTCGGCAGAGCTGTTCTTTCATCCGTTCTTCACTGATGACACCTCCCTCCTCTGAGTTTGGTAAGCTTGCATATCACCCATATGTGTGATGCACAGAGGCCACGATGAAGAAAAGCAGGTTGCTTACCTGTAACTGATGTTCTTCGAGTGGCCATCTGTGCATTCACACAACCCACCCGCCGGCCCCACTCGGTGTCGGTAAGTGGATGATTTTTTTTTCTCTTGGTACAGTACTCTAATTTTCATCAGTATCGTTGGGATTTAATGATGCTTGTTGTTGATTTTATTCTCAACCTCTAGAGGGTGAACGTTCAGTCTTCAAGACTGAGTAAAATGGTGGACACTCCGCTCTATTTATACCACTGAGGGGGAGGGGAGCGGAGTTTCCCTCCAAAAACCGTTAGCTTTCTAATCTTCCGGCCTAGGCACTGCGTAGGTGCAGCATCCATGTGTGTGAATGCACAGATGGCCACTTGAAGAACATCAGTTACAGGTAAGCAACCTGCTTTTCTGACACAGAGCTTTGCTGCCCTCACATTCCAGACCACCAGCATACGGCTGCCCAGGTGTCCGCTTTAGCTGAATCAGCAACATATCTGCAGCTACTTTCTTTGTCAAAGAAAGCTCAGGAGTTTCAACATGCCCCATATCTTTTCACAGGATAGATCTAACAAGATCCTAGGAAAGGTATCTTTCAAAGCTTATCTTGCATTCTGAAGATGCTAGTCTGGAATGGTGAAGTTACTGTGGCTTGTATTTAATTGATGAAGATAAATTACCTACCTGTTTTCCTGTTTCCTTCTTTAGATTCCAAATAATTCTCAAGCTGCAAGATCATTCAGTCCAATTGCCTCTGAGTTGCAAAGAAAGGACAAGTTTATGAATGTTCTTTTCTCATCTCATGTCCGCAAGGTAAGCACTACAAACAGCTGCCTAAGGATTAAGAAAGCTTCCAAAAATGGTGGCAAGCATAGAGAAAAAAGCTTTGAAAAAACAGTTTTGCAAGGCTGACACTTAAGAAAAGTGACTTTTAAAAGAATAGTAAAGGTGCCTTTACAATCTGGTACCCTCCAGATATGTTGCAATATGCTGGCTGGGGATGATGGGAGCATAGTTCAACACATCAGAGGTTTCCAGATTGGGTGAAGTTGCTGTTACATCTTTGAAAAAATGAGAAAAATGTTGGCATTAGAGTTGAGAGTTGGGAAGTAGAATTTACAGTTGGAGCTCAATGTCTTAAAGTATACACAAGAAAAAAAATTAAAACCTTATACTGCAATGCAGACTTTTCATGTGCATTTTGAGAAATTCTACTTTTGCAACAGCTCATGGGCTCATCTGTGTTAAGCAGCTTGAAGAGGGAGGGAACTCTGTCTTAAAAAGTTTTCTTTCAGGCATCTTTGGCCTGATGCAGGTACCATGTCTTTCAGGTTTGCTTATTTTAGAAGGTGTTGGTGAGGTCAGAAGTGGCTTTATATTAGAAGTGGATGAGGCAGAGGCCCTTGCCTGTCTCCCATCTTTGGAGAATTCCTGAGTACCTCGTGGCTGCCAAGTGCCATGTCCTCCTCTAGAGTCTCAGTGCAATAGTGAGCATGTGCTCAGGATGCACATGCACAGAGCGTTAACCTTAAGCAGTCAACACTTGGTTGTAACAAGTGGCAGAGTATTTGGTTGGCTCCATTGCCTGAGGAGCTGAACTGGTATGGGCATGTGGGGAACGGGGCATGATCAATATGGCAGCTGGAGGCAAGATAGTGAGCCAATTCACATGATCAGATCAGCCACTTGAATGTAGGCTGCAGTGCATGCCTATGTTGAAAATGCAAATTGCAGGTTGTTGTTTTGTCTGAACCCAGGTAGTGGAGGTTGTACCCATGGCCTCTTCTAGGGTTGCGTGAGAGGGAAATGATGTGACAAGCCAAGGACACTGTTTGAATGTTCAAAAGACTGCAGCAGTAGTGACTGGGCAGTCTGGGTCAGTCTGAAACATGGCTCTCTGCCTGTGGAAGTAAGGAAGGCATCAAAACAATGCAGCTGCCAACTGCCAGGGATGATCACATGGGAAGGTTTGGGAAAAGGTGGAATGAGTGGCAACAGCAGCAGTGCTCAGGAGAAAGCACTCCTGTGCGGGAGGGACCTCTTTGCATGTGTAAGGGGGGAAACACAAGAAAACACAACATGTTGCATCCTAATTCCCTATTCTGTTCCTCTCTAACTTGCTTGTCTTTATTCCAAACAACTGTTGCATATAGCTATGGCGGGCTCAGCTGTCTTTGGTGGACCAATTAATTCCTCCAAAAGTGTAAAAAGCACTGAAGCACTCATCACTGGCCGCCCATGCATAGCCTCCAACAAATGCTGCAGCTGAATATAATGCCAAGTAGTACTAGCCTCCCTGGATATGATAAGGATTGAATTAGGACCTCTGGAATTTCTGACCCAGAGGGTCTGCCAAGAACTTTATTTTTCACTTTGGCTTGTCTTGACAGCTGTCAAAAGGTGAGTTGTGAAGAGAAACCAAAGCCGCAACTTATCTTTTGTCATGAAAGGGGAATGACTGCAGAATCCTCAAGTTTTGACCATGCTGCTTTGAGTGCTAGTCTCATGTCTCTACTCTTTCCTGATTTGCTAGGTGCTCAGGAAGATGGAAGAGTATGAACCACCCCCTTTTGCAGGTGTATGCAAGTTTGAAAGCTTGCTGCCCCCCCACCCCCACAATCTTGAGAAACTATTGGGGATAGTGCTGGAGTGGGTACCTGACACTATTTTTCTAGATTCCCAGTGCTGCTTTACTACTACTACTACTACTACTACTACTACTTACATTTCTACACCACTCATAGCCAGATTTCTCTGGGTGGTTCACAACATTAAGTCACCCATCCAGATTTCAACTAGGCCTGACCCTGCTTAGCTTCCAAGTTTACACAGGTTCAGGCACTTCAAACTATATGGAAACTAATGTTTAATGGTTGTTGACTGTGATACTCAGTCTTTTTTCCATCTGTCAGACCTAAAAGACATGCCTTTGATTTCTGCTTTATGTTTTTCCCTTGCTTCTAATTTGTTCCAATTTCTTTCATATTGTTAGAAGTAGTTGTATAAAAACAAATGACTCCACTATCTAGAATGTCAAAGCCTCCTAATTTATAGAACCCTCACTCTTGCTTCTGCTCTGCATAGGATGCTGGTAATCCTCCAAGTTTGGTAGCTTATGGGCATTTTGATTGGATTGCATCCTTAATGCATCTGAAATTGTGCTATTAGGCACGCACAGAATGGTTTGTCCTTAATATTGTTAGAGATAGCGTGTGTGTTTCTGGCTTTATTTCTCTTCTTTGTATGAGCGAGGGAAATAATTTCCAACTGAGCAGGTCATCTGAAAGATTGCAGGCACTGAGGCATGGTCTTATTATACCAGGTAGTCTTGAGGAGCAATGCACCACAAAAAGAGATGCTTGCCTGCCAGATTGCTGTGAAAAGTCTGAGGTCTTTTGCTGGGATTTGATGCACTCTCCCAGAAAGAACAAGTCTTGGTTTTGCATTCACACAGCTATACACAGCGCTCAGAAAGCAAAGGAAGGTTTATCCAGAAGAATGTAAAGAGCAGGCATAAGCAAAGATGGTTGTAATCTTTCTTCATAGGATCAGTCCCTTGATCATTTTAGATGTTATTTTCTGCATTTTCCTTAATCCTACAATATTCTTTTAAGGTACAGTGACCAGAACTGTACACAGTGTGGTCACAAAACATATACATATAACAGGAGTATAAAACTGGCAGTTTTATCTTCTGTTCTTTTCCTAATTATGATTAACATGGACTTCGCCTTTCTTCCCAGCAGCTGCACACTGAATTGACATTGTTATTGAGCAGTCCACCACGACCCCAGGATCTCATTCTTGGTCAGTCACTGCTAGCACAGATTCCATCAGTTGATACTTGATAATAGGATTAAGCTGTTCCCCCCTCCCCCGACCCCAAATGTGCATCACTTTATACTTGCTTACATGGAACCACATTTTCCATTTTGATGCACATTCTCTCAATTTAGGCATCTCCTTCTGGACATCTTCACAATCACTTCTGGTTGTAACCACCCAAAATAATGTAATGTCATCAGCAAACTTGATCGCTTCAGTATTCACCCCTAGTTCCAGATAAGATGAAAATCATTGGTCTAAATACATATCTCCATGGAACCCCAATGTTTACATCCCTCCACTGGAAGAATTTTCCACTTACCACTTATATCTACTCTCTGCTTTCTATTATTTAATCAGTTACTGGTCCATAAAAGAAACCCACCTCTTACTCCATGACAGTTTAGTTTGCTCAAGAGTCTTTAGTGAGGGACTTTGTCAAAACCTTTGGGAAGTGCAGTTAAAAAGTGTCAACTGAGTCACCTCTGTTCACATGTTTTTTGACACTAGAACTCAAAGACAAGACTGTGGAATTTTTTCCTCAAGGCCTACCCTTCTATATCCTTACTCATTTTCTCTTTTATCATGCTTTCAAACAGTATCCCAAAGGAAAAGTGTTAAGGTCATTGGCCTGTAATTCCCCTGAATCCCCTCTGGATACTTTCTAAAGAAAATGTTGCTATGTTGGCCATTCTGCAGCCATCTCCTTTGAGTGCCGTGTTCCTTCTGGTCTGGTGACGGTGGATCTGCGGCACACTCAGGTTTTGGGAGGCTTTCATTGAAGGCATGACAACTGCAATTCACACAGATAAGAGAATTTCAAAGTCATTAAGCGTCTGGCTTAGTACTACTATTTGGTAGGAGGAGTAGTTGAAGATCCCCTCATCTTCCAGGGTCACAGGAGCCATTCAGCCAGGGAGCATTTCTACACTTAGATGCTGACTGGTTTCAGTTTCTGGTTACTGAATAGTTGAAGCCGAAATGTAAGTTCTAAGAGGGTGCAGTCATATGCCTAATTTTAATCTAGATATAGTGAACATTCTAGAAACTAGGTAAAATGAAAAAAACCCAGTGGAATGGAAGCATTTCTGGATATACAGTTTACAAGGAGGATGTACTGGAGATGCTGCTCTGTGTATCACTAGAAAACCTAAAAAGGGAAGACTCTTCCACAGAAGCACTTTTCCTTCTTCTCCTGTTTTCTGGGAACAAGAGTAAAAAGATAGCTTGATTCAAAACTCACCAAAGAGAGTAACAGCTATTCAGTTTCCAACAAGAAGAATTCACCTATTACGAGCTTCATGCCTAAATCCTACACAGAATTACATTTTGCCAAAAGATGTGAAATTTGGTAGAAAAAAAGAGTGACTGAGACCGCTTATTGGCCGTGAGTTTATTGGCCACAGCTTTAGAACCAGAAAGGTAAAGACCAATGTAGTTATAGAACCTTCCACCAGGGGAACCCTTGAATTCTTCATGGAGTCTTGAGATAGTTCTTACCCATGTATATATGCATCTTTGTTTTCTAATTGTAGCCATCCCAAGAAGCTAACAGGCTCTACTGGTATTTCCCTTTGAAACTCCACCTTGGCTTCTCGGGTGTTGTGGGAGAGAAGCTGTTCCTCAGCAGACCTGTTCCTCATATCACAGTCATTAAAAGCAAACCCACTCTCCATCAGCAGAGGTGAGAATGCTGGCCTCACCACCTTGCCAGCCATTTTCCCACCTGGCTTAGCCTCTCCTACCTGCCTTCTGAATTTCTCTCCTGGCTGACCTTGTTGCTGAGAGAAGGTTCCAAAAGCTCCAGAACTGCGAAAAGGTGGGAAACTCCCCTGAGGTCTACCTGCCTGCCGATTGTAAATGTCTCCCAATCAGGGTGGATACCAAGCAGGACTCTATCTGCCAGCCTAAAGTGGGGTGTCAGTGACACCAAAGGGGGCTGCCTCTTTTGAGGGAACACAAGGGCCACCCCTCTAGTTACAGTTCTAGTTTCAGCATCAAAGAAGAGCAGAGGGCCAGGGAGGAGAGTTGCTGCAGTCTGTAGGAATCCCCTCTCTCTCCAGGCTGCCTGTCCATTTGTCTTCTAGTCCAGTGTGTTTGTATCATGTACCAGGGCAATAGGATAGAATGGGGATTCTGTTGAGGATACCTTCCATGCCATGACCCAACAGGCTCCCTGCCTGAGCTGACAGTGGTTGTCTAAGGTTTAATGGCAGATCCAATGGCAAGGCCTGAGTTGTAGCAACCAGACAGCCCAAGGTCAGAACCAGATTTACATATCAGGACAGAACAAGGATGTGGCCAGGAACGAGCCAAGTGACGAGAACAAGGAGGAGAAACAGAGGTGCAGGATACTCAGCAAGCATCAGGCAGGATGCAGGCACTTACGCAGGATAACTGGGCAGGATACATGACACAACAGGGTATGCAGTAAGGCAGGATACACAGCATGGAAGGATATAAAGAGCAAGGCAGGATACAGGTCAGGCAAGAGGCATGCACCGCAACAAGGCAATGTGGCAAGGCAGGATACACAGTGGGAACCCAGGAACAGGCAGGAAGCAGGTACAACACCAAACAGGGAGACTTGTGTTGCTGAGGCCAGTCCTGGAGGACTCCCAGCAAATGTTCACCAGTAGACTCAGAGTTCCATCCTGTGAGTATGGTGATCGTGAGAGATACAATCTCTTGCATCTGTTGGGAATTAGACTCCAATGTTAACAAAGTGGAGTCAGGCAAGATATCCAGTGCACAGCCTGGTCTAGGTTTTTTTGGATGCATTCCACTCAGTACAGCCTGAAGATGTTGACAAGATGCTTGGACAGGTTCATGCAACCACATCTTTTCTGGATCCTTGCCTGTCTTGGTTAATAAAGACAAGCTTTGTCTAATAAAAGCTAGCAGGAAGGCAACGACTGGTTGGGTCAGGGAGTTGAGTAATGCCTCTTTATAATAAGGAATTGTCCCATGCCATCTTTGGATGCAGAAGATCTTAATAATCTTAGGCTAGTGGCAAATATATTGTTCCTAGATAAAGTTCTTGAGCGGTCTCAAGCACTCCTGGATGAGACTGATTATATGGATCTCTTTCAGGCCAAGTTTTGGTAGAGAAACAGCCCTAGTTGCCCTCTGTGATCACCTATGCCAGAAGAGAAACGGGGGGAGTGTGACCCTGTTGGTATTCCTGGATCACTCAGGAGCTTTCTGTACCATCGACCATGGTATCTTTCAGGAGCAGCTGCAGCGTTCTCTCCATTGCAGTGGTTCCACGCCTACTTGGAAGGCCAGCTCCAGAAGATGGTGCTTGGGGAATATTGCTCTGCCTCTTGAATTCTCCAGTATGGGGTTCCTCAGGGATTTATCTCCCACTACACCCCACCACTAGTTAATATCTACATGAATCTACTGAGTGGAGTAATCCAGAGTTTGAGTGTGTTTCCATCAGTATGCTGATGAAGCACAGCTCTATTTCTCCTTTTCATCTTCAGCAGGTGAGGTTGTGGATATGCTAAACCAGTGCCTGGCTGTGAAAATGGACTGGATGAGAGCTAACAAACTGAAGCTCATTTCAGACAAGACTGAGAGGCTGTTAGTGGGTATTTCTTCTGACCGGATGGAGGGAATTCAACTTATTCCACATGGAGTTGCACTGTCCTTGAAGGTTTGTAGCTTGGGGGTGCTCCTTGAGCCGTCTTTGTCACTTGAAGCCTTGGTGGCATCAGTGGCATGCAGTGCCTTCTACCATCTTCAGCTGGTGACCCAGCTATAGGCCTATCGGGTCAGGGATAGCCTGGTTTCAGTGATTTATGTTCTTATACTCTCTAAACTCAATTATTACAATGCACTCTAAGTGGGGTTGCCCTTCAGGACTGTTTAGAAACGGCAGTTTGTGCAAAATGCAGCAACCAGATTAATAATGCAGACCAGATGATCCAAACATATATCACTAACTCTGACCTACCTGTATTAGTTGCCTATATGCTTCCAAACCCAATTCAAGGTACCTTTTTAACCCTGTAAAACCTTACAAGGCTTGAGACCATACTGCCTGATGGAACAGTTCTTCCAACTACAGTCTGCCTGAAAGCTATGTTCAAGATCTGGGGCCTGTCTCCAGTTCCCACCTCCAATGGACATTTGGTGGGTTACATCAAGGAGAAGGGCCTTTTTAGTGGCGGCCTCCCAGTTATGGAACAGGCATCTCACCGAGGCCTAACTGATGCCACTTTAATATCTGTTTGGTTTCATGTTAAGACTGCCCTCTACCACAGGGAATTTATTTAGTTTACTGTTATATTGAGGCTTATGTTAGTTGCTTAAACAGCTCTTACAATTTCATCTGTATAAGTACTGTAGCTTTTTAATAGCTTTTTCAAATTTGGCTTTTAAATTCTGTAAATTTAATTTTAATTAGGTTTTGTTGCTCTCTGTATTTTATATTTTATGAGTTGTAAATAGTCAGACAGCTTTGACTATTGGGCAGTACAGAAATATGAATTGTGATAGTGACAATAGTAACAATAATGCAGTAACTTCAGAGAAGAAGGGTGGAAGTACTCAGTTAAGAGAAATGCTCTTGTCTCGCTCTCACATCTCACCATTCCTTACAGTGGGTGGAGAGTCTGTATAACTGTCTCAACAGAAGAAAAGGAGCAATGTCTGTTTCCTTCCAGACACTTCACCCCTGAGGAGGAACCCCAATAATCTCAGTCTTTGCTGCCTCTCCAGTTTCTGCAGTTTCTGAGTGTGGAGTAGTTTGGCACAGGGCACAGTTAACTTCTTAAAGTATTGTGGCACAAGCCCTTTAGGTTGTGCCAGTATGGGTAATTTGGACTAACTGACAAGCTTGGGGAGGATTTTCTTATACCTCCCTAATTTTGTGGGCACATTCTTGCATAATGTGTCCAAATGAGGGCATGAGGAGAAAGAGTTCTCTTGTTTTTCTCCCAATCAGACCTGAATTTAGCAGGGGGGAGGGGTATCTCTGTGGGCATCCCACCTTTTTTTCTGGGCTGTTCTTCAGGGTTGCTAAGCATATATTTCTTTCCCTGCACCAGGTCCTTCCAATATTAAATATTCTAAATTTGGAACTTTCCCATTGATGATGGAGTGGAGTGGAGACTCCAAGCACTCCAGAAGACCTCCTTAATCCTTGGATGGCATGGATTGGTGCTTCCCATGATGCTAGGGTTCAGTGTCACCTGGGCATATCACCTAAGATTAGAGATGTGTCAGAAATGGGATAGGGAGATGAAAATCTGACAGATTTGGGGGCTCAGCTTTACAAATTCCATTTCTTCAAGACAACACCAGCACAGGATTAACAAATCAAGCTAGCATATGGATTTCTGTTTTTAAATTGGGGCTTTGGTTTGGATTTTTTTAAGCCTGGGAAACTTGCTCAACTTTTCTGCCTCTGCCTTGTAATCTGTGCCAATTTAGGTGCGTAAAAGGTGCCTAAATATTGCACAAATCTGAAATTAAGCATCAGAAAATTCAAGATCACAGCAGACTGTGTACATAGTGAGAGGAGGATGTTTTCATATTTCACATGTTAAATGCTACAACAACAACAACAATAACAACAACAGCAAGAACAGCTAAAAGAGCAAACATAATAACTCACATCTAAAAAGTTGACTTACAGTTTGTGCAATTTATACACCTTCATGCAATCTAGGTAAATTATGCTAGACATATGCAGTTCTTGGCTCAAAATTACTCAAATATTGCAGGAAATTTTGTGGCAGCAGAAATCAAAAACCTAGCTAGGCCCATTTTGGGCTGTCATGTCAGAAATGTGTCAAAAGTCAATCGTGCTCAAACAGAATGACTTTTCCAGTATTGCATGTCCCTACCTAAGACTCAGCCAAGTCCCGTGAAAATGATCGAGCCATGTCATTACAAATGGGCTTCACGCTTTTGGTACTGAACCTCTTTTCTACCACCTCAAAACAATTTCCATGCTCCAGCTGGTGAGGGAAGCTGTCTTTCCGCCAGTACTTCTCTGCTCCAGTGGAGTCACTGGGGGCATGGAGGTGAGTACTCAGTGGTAGTTCAGGTGGGATGTTGCACCCAGATGGGTGGACTGAGCTCCTAGGCAAGCAGGCAGGTCTTGACTGAGTTTGAGGGGCAGTCATATTCCTGTGTGAGGATTAAAGCTCTTAGGCTCTAAGGGGATGGAGTTCATATCTAGTTGGGTAGATTGAAGTGCCATAGCCAGCTACCTCATCTGTCTCCTGTGCTTGATTTCCCAGTCAGGTACAGACTTGTGCATGGAGGATCTCCAGATAACCCCAAGGTGAATTCCTTAGGCCAAAAGCCTGACTTCACACCTGGAAGTAGGGTACCTGCCAGGAGTGGGAAGATAAAAGCTCAGGAGAGATTTGGGTAGAGATCTCCTTTGGGTAGAAATCTCAAGGTCTGCTCTGGAAACACCCACCACAGAGCTAGGCAGGAACAAAACTGAAAGTAGGTTATTCCTCCACTAGGGAATGCATGTCAAGCATAATTTGCACAACCTGCCTCCTGGCAGGAGTGGGAGAAGCAACTCATCCAGGAATATCCTCCTCCACGGCCAGAAACTGATGAATTTTTTGCTTTCATGTAACTCTGTGTGCATACCAATCACTCAACTAGAGCCACTGAGATACGAATAAAAGGGCAAAGTAACCGATAACAGCACATTCAAGTATAAAACTATAAAAGCAGAGAAAGGAGTGGGTATGGTCATTTTGTCCAAACGATAAGCGTATGTAAACTAAATGCAAACACAGAAACAGAGTTAGTGGAAAGTTGTAATGGCTAATACATGCCTTGTGTTCTCCTTGCATTCTAAAATCGGTCATGATACCCATTTCCAATTTTGCTTTAATAGCTTTTAAAGAAATATTGTGAATTTCTACTTATAAAGTGACTGTACTGTTCATTCTAAAGAGCAGCAGGAAACCCCAATTCTGGTGTCTTCCTGTGGAGTGGGCAATTGTAAGGACTCATCTAAAATGGGGCCTGAGTTGCAAGCTATCCATAGCCATGTCGAATTAATATAGCTATTAATGCAATTCCTACAGAGTGGATTATGTTAACATTCCTTCTGAAGGCCAGTATTCCAATCAATACCCTGACATTGCAAGAGCAAGCCTAAGTTAATGACAGTGAACAAATGTACTACTGTATAGGTTGCCTGTTGTGTATTTTCCCCTTGGCCATAATGTTCAAGGAAAGAAAGCTGAATTCATCCTCTTGAAGCTGCAGAAGCAGAACAGATCAGTTACTGATTATTCATACAGAAGGAAGGAGTGGAAATGGTAGAAAATCAAAGCCTTGTTTCTCCTGTGTGTTTCCATGGACCAGCATGCTATAGCTGAGCTAAGCAGTCTGCATAAATAACTATTGTGTGTTAAACTGTAGGATCAAAGGTTATCATTGTATGTTTTGCCTTTTTCCCTCTCATGAGGAACCCAAGCCTGCTTACATAGCTCCATTTTATCTTTACAACAACAACCCTGTGAGGTAGGTTGGGCTGAGAGTCTGTGACAGGCAAAAAAATCACCCAGTGAGCTTTATGGCTGAGTGGGGACTCCAACCCAGAACTGTCAGGCCCCCAATCCAACTTGGTTTCTAATCACCACACCACACTGGTTCTCAGAGTTATAGGGTTAATGTTTTTATCATGTGCAATGTGCTAGCAATTGTCAGAATTGTACAAAATAAGGGCAAATTTCCCATCTTCCTGCTCTTGCCTAGAAGGTTCTTTGCTCTGCTCTTCATACCTGATTTGGCCTTTCTGGTACTCCATCCTTGTACACAAATTTAAGACGGTATGTAACAAAAGCAATGCTTGTTTGAAAAACTTGTATTTGTTGCCAGTAAAGAAGATGCCACCTGTATAGCATGAGCTTACTCAGCACAGAAAAATGTACTTATTTTGTTCGTATTTTTCAGTAGTACATATTTTTGGATGCATACACCTATTGACTAAAGTGTGTGTGCACATTTTGGAAATTAAAGCATTTTCTTAGCATTTTTCTTTTTCTAATGTGTACATGTATTTGAACATATTTGTTTCATTTTGCAGACAGTATTGTAAGTTCAGAAACATACAGATTCCCACTATTAAAACTAAAAAATATAAGTGTTCCAAATAAATAAATAATAATAAAAATGCAATGCATCAATGGAATGAATTCATTTTCTGTTCCTGCTTTCTTGCTCATACACTGTCCTTTAGTTGGCTAGAGAACCTGAAACTAGTACTTCCAAAATTGATTGAAATTTACAGTAGGAAGAAGGCAGTACTCTAGGAAACCAAATACCAACTTCCCATGTTCCCAGATCTTTTGCATTCTGATTGGCATAAAACACCAAATTCAGGGCTCGATGAAACCCATGGTTGTCATGGAGGCCTTGATGTCCTGAAGCACACCAAGTAACTGGGGCTCAGTAAGAACAGTAAAGTTTTCAGAACTAGCCTGTGGATCTCCAGCTCCACTCCTGAGGCCACTTCTGCCAGAACAGGAAAGAACAGGGAAGGGTCCCACAACTCAGCCTCAAGCCAAAAAGTGTCTGCATTGCATTCAACCCTCCTAACAGTTTAGAGAAGCCAAAAGAAATCAGAATAATGAATTCCCTAAGACAAACCCCTGCAAGTTCACCATGGCCTTGTTTCTCAAAAATCTAGCTTTCATGATCTGACCATAAAGCTTCCTAGATCACTTCCCACACACCTGAGAAAGTAGTCAAATAGGATTCGCCTTCACAGCACTTCTCACAGTGAGTGAAGAAGTCAGTCACAAAATCAAAAACAGGGAGAGGGAGAGAGAAGCACACACAGAGACAAGCACTATAATTTGCCAGACAGAAACTGGGACAGAGAGGGTCACCCATGGACAGAGACACATATGCGCACATGGACACACCTCACATCTAATAATTCAGTAGTACACCGAGAGAGACACAGAGGAGCTCAAAACACACACATACACAGAGGCAGATTCATGCACAGATGCAGAGAGGTAGATATACACAAATATGGAGAGACATATCCATAGAGGAAGATAGGAGAAAGACACACCGAGTGCAAGAGAGGGATGGTGCACACAGACTAATACAAAGAAAGAGAGAGGAAGAGATACAGATTAACACACAGGGGAAGCAATAAACAGGACACATACGTAGAGGCGCGCTCACAGAACCAGACATGTGCATAGAGCCAGGCACAGAGAGAGAGAGAGAGATTCTGAAAGAAAAGACAACTATATATGCGAGGAAGTATTTGGAGTTAAATGCACAGAAAGACAATCAGGCACGTGCACACACATAGAGCTTGATAACAGTTCTGACTTCCCAGGCACATCACATCATCAGCCTGGAAAAGAAAGCAATATCGAAACAATCCCCTATTGAGATGACTGTGAAATATTATGAAGGTGAAATACAAACACTTTTAAGAATGTACAAACTGCAATAATTTCTTATTTCACCTGATTTAGCAACTAAGTTTGAGTTAGTGGAAGTGCTCAACAATTCTTTTTATCTTATAATTTCTAGTTATTATTTTGTATATAATGCTATTTTGTTAGCTTTGCTGAATTATGGACCATTCTGTATTTTAATACTACTTTCACTTGAAACTTGATTTGTGCATTAATTGTAGAACAAAATTAGAAGCAAAATTAAAACATGCTAATTTGAAGGAAAGAATAATCCTTTATCATACTTTTAATTTGTTTAAAGTGCATGTTTTATTTTTAGAAAGTGATCTCTTTTAATATCAGTGGGTGTTTGATTATTTGCAGATAAATCGCTTCAACAGAGTAGAAGATAGAGCGATTTTTATCACTGACAGGCACCTGTATAAGATGGACCCTGCAAAGCACTACAAAGTAATGAAAAGCATCCCACTGTACAATGTAAGTATTAGACGTGTGGAGTCCTAACTTGAAAATGTTCCATTTTTCTCTTAATTAATAAGATCTCCACTCAGAATGGTATGAAATGCATCTAGGGTATTCTTACCTGTATATCATTACTGTCTTCACTTATTGACTACATTTATTTCAGATTCACTGCAACAGATTCCCTATGTCACCACAACCTTAAAAAAAAACCTTGCTGGGAACTCTGGGGAATTGTAAACTTATCAGCTGGGTAACCCTTAAGTGAACAGTTAGGTATTCCAGCTGTTACAGTGTTCGGTTGCTACGTATTAGCCCAAGACTGCACCATAGTAGTCAACGTGGAATTCACCCTCAAATAAAACAGAACATCTATTTCTTCTCCTTTGCTGTGCTCCCCCACCCCCAGCCCACTGATCTTCTCATCAGACACTATCCTGTAATAAGACTACTTCTTAGCTAACTACCCCTGCATTGTGGCCTGTAATTTTCCCCTTCCCATCTTCTCTTATTTGTAAACACTAATAGAGCCTTCAGCCTATTGGTCAGTACAAAATGAATTTATTAAATAAATAGGTGCTGGTGGCTTGTATTTCTATTTGCCTATATGTTCTGTCTCCTCACCTGCAGGCTGCGGAGTTCTGCCATTACTATCATTCTCTCTCTCTCTTCTATCTTTGCCTTCAAACTTAATAGATACAGCAAGTTTAGTTTCGACAATAGCTCATATTTTGTGCCAGGGCTTGGCAACCATCCTGATGTTCTGAGGTCACTTAGGTTGCTTGCCATGGATAGGCTGGACATGCACATGGTAGGCATGTCATGAACAGAACTGGGGGTCAGACTAGATGGCCTGAGTGACCTCTTCTAACTCATTCTGTTTCTATGTTTTTATGTTTATAGCAAAAGCCAAGAGGAATAAATAAATTAAAATAGCTTAGGATAAGAAATAGTTTAAGATCTCTTAAGTAGATGTGCCCAAATCTCCAAGTTTTAATTCAGTTTGATCAGATTATGCTGATAACTACCAATACCAAAATGCCTCTAAATAATTCTTTGCTGAGACCACACTTGAAGTATTGTGTACAGTTCTGAATATAGCACTTCAAGGGGAGTCATACAGATGTATACAATTATGTTAAAAATGCGCAATGTGAAGAAAATGGAGGCTCCATTGGATGATGCTGGGCTCTAGGGTTATGATATTACTTGAAAACAAGGCTATCGATGGGTGCTAGACAAGACAGCTATATATTGTCTCCAGGCAACATGCCTTTGTATGCTAGTTGCTGGGTTACAGAAGCAAATGCATATTCTGCTGGCAGCTTCAGTGGTGAAGGGAATGCTGGTCTAGATAGGCTTTGGCTAATCCAGCATGGGTCTTTTTGTGTTCTTATCAATAGCACTTCCATGCAGGTTAAACTGATATGCTGCCCTGAACTCTGTGAAGGCATGTCAGATACAAGCATGAGAAACAATTTGATCTGATAACAAATTTGATTTGCTGAACCAAAGGAAGTGACAAAATCTGTGGTCAAGTGGATCTCCTCAGTTGCCACCTTGATCTTCCATCTTGAAGTTACCACCTGCCCACTTTGTTGCCGTAAATCAAATTTATATCCTATCTTATCGTTCTTTTCCAGTGGAAATGCAGGGTTCACAGTGATTAATGATGTCTAATCCTTACTCCCATCCCCAAATCATGTTCCATCATCGTTGTTTTGTTACATTTATACTACACCTTCTGAAGAACTCAGAATGACTTTAATAATCCCATTTGTTCTCACAACAACAACCCTGTGAGATACATTAGGCTGAGAGTGAGTGACTGGCACCAAGTCACCCAGTGAGGTTCAAGGCTGAGTGGGGGCTAGAAGTCAGATTTTTTGAGTCCCGGTCCTGCACCCTCCCCACCACATGACATCAAACCACACCGGCTCTTTATGGAACTTCACATGAACAGTTGCTGTCATTTATTTTAGTTTTTGTTTTAAAAGCTGGTGCCATGCTTACAAGTCATGCTCTTCAGGGATCTGTTTACACAGGTAGCAAAAACATTGCTATAGAAAGGATTTCAGTTAGTCTGTGAAAAATACATTGTACATGAAGGACCAAGTGCTTTGAAAATGATGTAGTACTGACAAGGTAAGGGGCAATTCAAGATCACTGTATAGCACCAGTGTTGGAATTGACTATCTATGGCACTGTTTTTTAAAATTTATTTTTATTTTTTTTAACCATCTCTGCCAGTGCAGCCACAAAGGGATTGTCAAGTCCTAAGCAAATAGGAAGCAATAAATGTAAAGGATACAAATGAGATGTGGTTCATTTGTATCCTTGGAAAAGGATTGCCTGCCTTTGTCAAGCTGAATCACAGCTAGCTGCCAGGTTCCATAGAGCCTGTAAGGTACAGATGAAAAATAAAGCCAGGTTTTGAACACTCGCCCTAATCTAAAGCTGTGAAGGTTACTGATATACCTTATGGAGCTCTATTGGAGCAGGAGTTTCGCATGAAACTTTCCCAAATGTTGAAGAGCAAGAGAAGTTTATGCAAATATTATTAAAGGTAAAGGTTTCCCCATGACATTAAAGTCCAGTCATGCCTGACTCTAGGGGGCAGTGCTCATCTCTGTTTCCTAGCCGAGGGAGCCCGCGTTTGTCCGCAGACAGTCTCCGTGGTCATGTGGCCTACATGACTAAACACCAAAGTGCACAGAACGCTTTTACCTTCCTGCTGAAGTGGTACCTTTTTATCTACTTGCATTTTGTATGCTTTCAAATTGCAAGGTTGGCAGGAGCTGGGACAGAGCAACGGGAGCTCAGTTGTCCGGATTCAGACTGTTGACCTGTCGATCAACCAGCTCAGCAGTTTAAACCACTGCGCCACCGGCAGCCCCCATTTTATTATTATTATCTAGAGGCTAATGCATATAATCGTTTTTGTATTCCAAAAAAACCCCTTATTTTTTTATCAGCGCCTCAGAGGATATTTTGTTGCTCACAATCTCAAAGATACTTAAATGTGTATAAATTTTTAAATACAGGCACCTTCTGATGTTTATGTAGGCATAGCCAGTATATGAGTATGCAGTAAAACAAGGGAAGCTTGAAACTATGTTAGATGATTTAAACCTCCCTTGTTTTCCCTTCTTTAGAGGAAAAACTCCATTATTTGGGCTGATGGAAATCCTTTGGAAAAGAAAATGGGCTGCTGATATTCGTGCCTTAGTGTTTTTCTTCATCTATTATTTGAACAGATATATTTCTTTTAAATCTATAAGATGGATTGGCCTTGTAATGTGTTCAGGAGCGAGCCTTGTCAAAATGCATCTGGCTGCCAGTAGTGTTCACTATCACTGTTTCTAAAGCTGCATCCCTAGGGAAAGTGTTGCCATGGAGATCTCAGGCAGTCAGCTGATGTCTGGTCCTGCTGCAGCTTGTTTTCTAGCTCAAGAAATAATTCTGTCACTTCTAACCTTTAAAAAAAGACAAATGCAAATAGAATGGAATATCCCTTGGTGTGCCTTTGACTTCTGGCAGTAGGAACCCCAGTGACTTGAAGCTACTAATGATTTTTGTGCCTGACTTTGACAACCATGCTGTTTAGCTATACCAGGTAAAGGGCAGCAATAATAATAATAATAATAATAATAATAATAATAATAATAATAATAATAAGAAGAAGAAGAAGAAGAAGAAGAAGAAGAAGAAGAAGAAGATAATTACAAGTTTGAGGGGCAATATAAGATTTAAGAAAATAATACATTTTGAAAACTGAAAAAAGATGGTTTTCTCTTTTTTCATCACTATACTAGTTCTATTCAATTGACTCAGAGCCAGTTACTGCAGCCCAGTTTGGCATGTTGAGAATGTTACATAGTAGATTTGTGCAAACCTCAGTACATTGCAAAGTACAGTTGTTTCACTATGCTTCTGCCTCACAAGGCAAACCACATTTACCTGTGCCATTTCCAAGCTGCCAGAGATTTAAATCAGTTATATAAATTAATTTACCCTACTGAAGGTGTGCAGTGTTGTGCCACATACAGTTTACTGGAGCTAAATGTGGGTTGATACTTACTGCATCCCAACAATTCATAGGATCATGAAATAGCAGAGGGGGAAGGTATCAATAAGGCTATTGGGTCCCACCTCCTGCTCAATGCGGCACTCTGAGTTGAAGCATTTAGCATGTTTAACTACAATGCTAGACGCGCCTCCTTGTTCTGTAATGCTAGAATTTCAAAAAGGCAAGAGTTTTCCAGGAACAAAGGCTAAGAATTATGCTCCAACAATGGGCAGTAGAGCACAATAGCAGACATCTTCAACAGGAGCCACTGAGTGTTGCCATACAATCCTGTTTTCTTGGTTGCCCAGCAACAGAAACAAGACAGCTGAGCGTAGCTGAGCAGAAGGAAGGATAATAAAATGCAAGGGCTCTTTAGATGGTCCAAGAACTCTGGGGGGGAAGGAGGTGGGACAGAGACGGGATAAAAGGTTGAATACTGAATGTACAAGGAAGAGGAGGAGGATGAAATAGAAGGGTTCAGGAAGTGTGGGTGGAGGAAGCTGCAGAAGAAGGACTAAAAACAGAAGGAGTCAATGCTCCATGCTCCCATAAATGGGATAGGTCATGCTTTTCTGTCTGCTTGAGTACCTAGAGATCTAGGAAAGCATGGAAAAGTGCACCAATGTTAAAAAGAGACGAGGCCAACCAAAAGCCTGGAGGACCTCAAAATCACTTGTGGTTTCTCTTTCACTTGACAGGTTGCCCTTTGATAGCTTTCTGGGAAAAGAAAAGCAACAAATTAACTCCTTTTTTAGCCTTGTTTCATCCATGTTCCTGGATGGTACCTCCTGAACTTTGACAGAAGGTACTTACCAAGACATTGATGGGATAAGACCTTTCCTTTTGGTCACCTGGAAGTACAGAAATGCACACTTGCAAAAGATGGGTTAAAAGAGGGGATAAACGTATTTGTACAAATACATAAATAAAAATAAGGGTGGCACACCAGTTACCACCACTCCAATGTCCTGCTTGAGCACTTTGGAGGGGCTAGCACTTCAGAAATGGTGAAAACTCTCTGGGGGGAAAATGTGGAGGAGAGAAACCATGGCAAGTGCAAAATGGCTAGTGGTCGGGAATAAGGCAACCATGTCAGTGACAGTCACTCCAGAGTGCCCCTTGGGCATGTCATGGAGAAGCTGGCAGTTGCCCAGGCAAACTCAGCAAGGGTGGCAAGTGACTTATTAACTGCTTCCCTGGATTCATGATGGAGTCAGTTGCTCAGGTACATATGACACAACCACCCATTATGGGTGCAGCAACCTGTACTACAAACCATAAATTGCCAGGTGGCTTATTGATCATAACAAGCCAGCCTGTAGTAAGCAGTCCATTTTTGCATGACAGCTGCCTATGGTTGATGGTTTGTTGTGTTATATGAACTTGTCAGTACCCCATCTCCAGCCCCTCCCCCCCCCACAATTGTGAAAAGAAGGAACAAATTTAATCAAGAATCCATATATGAAGATTGGATACCTCTGAACCATGCAACAGTGCCACATTAAGACAACCCACTGGGTTTGGGCATGCTTCTGGTGTTTTCCGTTTGTTAAAATTCTGGGGTTAATGGCAACTGCTTGGTCGCAAACACCGACCATTTTAGGACAGATTCTCAAAAGAATGATGGCAGGGTAAAATATGAAGTAAAATAAAATTCCTGGAAAACGCTAAGTATCTTGAACCTTTCCAGTCTGGTTTCAGGACTGAATTAGCCTTATTTACCTTGATGGGCAAACTTCACCATGAGAAGGATGGGGCAATGTTGCCCTGCAGTTTATTCTGAATCTTTCGGCATCTTTTGATCCCAGTAATCATCGTGCCCTCCTGGATGGTTTTCTTTGGGGGGGGGGGTGCATTTTAGAAACAGCATTCTTCAATTGTCACTGTTTTAATGGCAGCGTTGGATTCACAGCAGAGTTTTGAAAAACAGTTATAGCCGTTCACTGTACTAATTATTCTTCATACCTGTATCATCTTTCTACCTATAGATGAGAACTAGCTATTCATATCTGGATATATTATAAATGTTTAACAATGCTTGTGTTTCATTTTAATTTTGTTTTGTTGTGAAATAAGGAATAAGACTTATCTATAAATCTAAATTCCTCTCATAGCTGAATGGTAGTTTTTGAAATTTGATTAATTTGTGGGAATTGAGAGACCAATACTATAAAAATAGTTATAGAATGTATAATGATATATATATATATATTTATATATATATCGTATATAATTGTATATATTAAAATATGTACTATATATTCGTATATATTTAATGCAACGTTTAAAGTCCAAGTGGCAGCTATTGCACTGAGACCTACTGAGATGAAACATAGACCTTGCAAAGTAACTGTATGGGGATGCTATACTTCAGGCTAGCAGCTTCAATTTTTATATAAAGCTACAATTTATTTTACATTGTTTGAATAGCTTGAAAAATAATCAACAATTCATGGAAAATTATTTTCACAAATGGAGTAGGCTTATGAAATCTGTTTCTTATGTTATATTTTAAAAGACCAGGCTCAAATCCTCCTGACCTTGGGCTTTCTAATACCAAGTATGTGGGACAGGCTGTGGTTACTCTGCAGGTCGGAAATCACTCTTCTTAAATAATAACACTTTCTGAAAAGCTGTAACAATAAAAAAAAATTCTGATAATTAGATGTTTGTGTGTAGCAAGCACAATTTTGGCGTTTTCCTTCAAGCCTAACTTCCTGTATCAGTCATTAAAAGCAACTGTGTTGAATCCAATACAGTCATGCCTAGAGTAGACCCATTGAAATCAATGGAACGAAGTCCAATTAATTTCAGTAGATCTATTCTAAGTAAGACTATATTTTAATCTACCCATTGTAAGCAGAGCCTTAGCCCTGTTAATGCTAGGTCAATCAGTAGCCAATTTATCATCATCCTCAAGAAGCCCATTTTATGCTATATTGCCTTCTAGGCAACACATGGGCCATATTTTTGCTTTTCCTAATTCTAGTGGAGAGTCTTGTCTCCTTGGAAGAAACAAGCTGTTACAAGCTGACAACGATTGCTAGTCACAATGGCTATATATTTGCTCCAGAGTAGGGAGCAGTATGTCCCTGTATTCCAGTTGCCGGGGAACATGAGTGGGACAGTGCACACCAGTTGTGAGTTTTGCACAGATAGTTGTTTAGTCTGTTTGAGCATGGCTCTTACATTCTCGTGTGCATGCTTCCTTAAACCTCAGACTAGAAAGATGGCTCAGTGCATTATAAACTTGGAAAAGCCAATAGTATTCCAAGTCTATTTCTTGACTTGTCCTTCTGCAAAACTACCACTAAGGCGTGGAACTGTGATAGCCTTAACATTCCCCTCTCACTTTGTACAGCTGACAGGACTGAGCATCTCCAATGGAATGGACCAGCTTGTGGTCTTCCACACAAAGGACAACAAGGATCTAATTGTGTGCCTCCTCAGCATGCATCCACTCAATGAGAGCAGAATTGGAGAGTTGATTGGAGCTCTGGCAAATCACTTTAAAAGGTGAGTGTGAATGCACATCTCTAAATGTGAAACACGTGAGAGATACAGATACCAAAACACTATAGCAGATTTCATCCTGATCTCTTCTTGCTCATGCAGCTCACATCTAGGAAGTTTAGTATTTTTGACCTTACACAAATACTGTTACAAACTGTTTTGAAGGAGCTGAGCTGGAAACCCTGATGCTTTGGGACAGTTTTTAATACTACCTGCTTAAATATAAATTTATTTATTAAATTATTAATAATTAAATAAATATAAAATTAAATTATTTAATTTTACATTTATTAAATGTAAAAGTATTTATTTACGAACTGCATCTGCATCCAAAACTGTATTCCAGGATGATATGTATCATTTAAAAAATCAGTGCAATACATCAGTGTAATAACCTAAACCCCTTCTGGCATCCTGTCCAGGCACATGTACAAGAGTGAACACATGCCAACACACACCCTTCTAAGGGCCTTTTGAACATTGGTCCTTGTGCATCTTAGTATGTATGAATGGCACGCATGCATGCACACACAGAGGTCTCTTCAAAAAGTGGGGACAAGAAACAACTAGAATCAGGATATGCATTTTGAGGAATTAACAGGTTGTTCCATGACAAATGGAGAGGACAAAAGGAAGGATAAAGTTACCTATATCTAATATTGGATTGCTCATCATAGTTACACAGGGTTTGCTTAAATAATTGGATAATTGTGAACAAAGAGCAAGTGAGCATTCTGGCTCCCAATTGTCAAGCCGCTCTTGCTGACCCAGGGCATTCTGCTTTTGGGACATTTGTTATCATATCTGAACCTGGATTTGTGGGCTGCTTGGGAGAGACAACCCCACTTTATGCCCTAGGTATGTGTGACCTGGTTCACTATGATGTGCAAATAAGATCACATACTACCATTTTTCAACATGCTGTCTACTCCTCCAGCCTCTTCCAGCCTTTTTTTTTTTTTTTGTTGAAAAGGGCTCCAGGAGACATTGTGTATCAACTTCACTGCAGTGTTTATCTTGATCACAAAGTGATGAAGAGAAAGCAGGAAGACCTCAAAAAAGGAAGTCTGTCTGTGATGACTTCCCTCTGGACAGTGGGGCAAGGTTGCATTAAAGGCTTCTAGCCAAAAACTGTCTCAGAAATAGACTCATTTGAACACACTCATACAAGTATCTGCTAAGAGGGTGGATGCAAGGATGAAGTTACAATGTTTAGATGAAAGAGCCCCAGAAGACAGAACAGGACTTGAAATACTTCTTTCCTGGGATCCTTTTAGATCTGTGCTGCAGGCAAAGGTGGAGCATAGTGAAACTCTTGAAGTTTCACTGCAGAAAAATGGTTCCTTGAAAGGTTCCTGCAGGGATGTACACAAATAATGAGTGGGTAATGAGCACAATTATGCAAACCATGAACAAGCAAGCACTGACTCAAGCTACAGGCTTGCAGCCAAAAGAGACAGAATTTTCAGGCAGACTTTGCTTAATGTAGTACTTTGCAAGCTTCAGCTACTTCCTTAGCTTAAATCTTCATGAACTGTCTACTGTGGCCTGCCCCTCTCAAGCTGAGTGGGCTGCCATGTGATAACCTCAAGAGCCATCTCCTTGGCTGGAAGGGCTTTTTGACTCTGCATTGCCTCCTCCCTGTTCATCTGACACCTAATCCTTGGGGCTTGTATTCCCACAGCTCCCTCTTAGTTGGCAGTCACAGGGCCCAGTTTGGCTTTCTCCAAAAGATTAGAGGACACTGAGTTTCTTCCCCTCTGTTTCTAGTATTTTAACTGGTCTCCTGCTCCCATACCCTTTGCACCTTGACAACACCTTCCAACTCCACCCCCCCACCCACCCACTGGGACCTTGACTTACACATCTTCCGCACATTCAAAAACACCCACAAAAATATATCCTTTACCGAAACATTCCACAAGACTCCAGTATATCTTTGTACAGCATCTTCTGGTGAATCAGTCTGGAATGTAAATCAATTGTAAAGAATTTAATACTTTCCACTGCCTCCCATCCCCCACCTTCACTTCTCAGTGCATATCAGTGACTATTGTCAAATCCTCTGCTACAGAAAAAGGAGTTTACAGGTGGGAAAGGGATTGGTGTTACAAGCTAGTACAAGCTTGTACCTAGCAGACCATCACTCTGCATAGCTCGCCCTACTCTCTACATTGAAAATTTCTCCTGATTCATCAGTCTAAACCAATTGCTTCTCCTGATTCATCAGTCTAAACCAATTGTATTTACCAAACAGTTCTGAGAGTTTTGCTCCGGGCAACGTTGCTGGATTTCTTTGGTGTGGTGCAGCGTATACATGCCCCTCCCCTTGCTTTTCTCCTTTCTTTTGAATAGATACGTTCACTAGACTTTTTTTTAAAGAACATGTGGCACAAAATAACGTGAGCTGTCTGCACGTGTCATACTATTCATAGGTGAGCCAAATCTTAGGTCACTGAACTGCCACTATGCAAAGATTGTGAGTTGAGGTGACAGGTGAGACTGGGAGGGTTGTGATACTGACGAAAATTCAAGAAAAAAGCCCGAATGAAACCATCTGGCTAGAGAGGAGGCAGGAGCAGCTACTTCAAAATGAGAAGTATTGGCCTTGACAAAGTATGTACAGTGCACACTTTGGGTTGTGATTGGTTTCTGCTTCACAAATGAAGATATGAAACACGACTTGAGTCATATTCATATGAATATGAATTTGATAAAGCTCAGTCTTCCTCATCAAAAGCTCTTTGGAAGTACAAACCTCACTCCTGTGCTTTGAAAAGGAACAAGGGCCCTATGTCGTCAAACACATGCAGTTGGTTTTACATTGTAATCAAAAGTGTGTCCCAGGATCTATACCTTTCATATCATCTTAGCCATGAATTCCTGGTGGCTGACGGCAGTCCATTACATGTCAACTTCAGACTCTTCTGGCAATGAGGGAATAACACTGCCTTCACTTGCAGAATTGTAAGGATCATGGATATCCCCAGTTGTAACGTCCTTTGCATGTCAAGACTGGCATCTTGTTCACATTAGGGGTATCGGAGAATCTGCACTGGATTCAAATGAGTTTGGATTTCTAGGAATCTGACTTAGGAATTCCACAGCAGACTGGCTTTTCCCAAGTCTCACAGACTTGCAGACTCACTCTCCCTCCCCTCCCCTCCCCTCCCCTCCTCTTTCTGGAATATTACACAAATGTAGTTCCAGAAAAAGAAAAGCACATTTTCTCAAGAAGCAAAACCATGGGATTTTTCATTTGGGGATTTAGGGATTTTTGTAAGTGCAAAAATGTACTTGTGCAAAAAAGTGCTAAATGTAGTGTGCATCAATATGTTTGGAAAATGGAAAAAAATCTAGTTCCATCAGTTAACATTAAATGAAAGGTATCTAAAAATTTATAAAATGTAGACAGAACATGATTAACAAAACCCATATATTCCTAATTCACACTGGTCTGAAAATAAACTCCAGTGAAGTAGTTCTTTTTTTTATCAGCAAACATGCTTAGGATTGCATTCAGGGTGTAACTGAATGCTCATATTTATTATTGGCTGTACTAGTTTTCAAATGCCATCACTTCTGTCATTATGGATGTGCATACAAGTTTGTCAAAGTTCCCCAAATTCCATCTTTAGGCTTGTTACATCTTGTGTCCATATCAGATTGTTAGCTTTACTTTTTTTCTTTTCGTGCAAATTTTTTCATATCTGCAGATGCGGATAAACACATTTTTTGACCCATAGACCATTTTGCAAGGCAAAAATTTATGGACTTCTATCACAGATTGCATTCATGCCTCTGTTTAGTCCAGAAGGTGGGAACTGGTGTGTGGGATAGTGATTAGGCCTTGGAGTTCTGGGTTCTAGTCTCCATTTGGCCTGAAACTCACTGGCCATGTCACTCATTCTCAGCCTAACCAATCTCACAGAGTTGTTGTGTGGATAAAATGGATCTATGTAGACTACTTTGGGTTATTTACAAGAGGAAAAAAGACAGGATATAAATGTAATGTAGTTATGCAATGTAATAATTCAATAATATAGAAGATAATCATAGAGTGAATCCTGACTGAAGATAAGCTGAAATGAATTTCTCAAGCATTTCTAGCTGTTAGTCAAGAGAAACCTCTTAAGCCTGCCTTTGGTGTATGAACCAAGTCCATATTGCAATGGCATAGAGGTTCATTTTCACCAACTGTTTCTCCAATATCAAACTATGCGGCAGTTTGATCTCTCTAATATAGCATTTTGCAGCTCTCTTGCTTGGAGTGGAACTGCAAATGCCCCCCCCCCACACACACACACACACACACACTTCAAAATGCATTATTAGTAAGTTGGTCAAACTATTTTGGTACCTGAGCCAGAACATCCTGGCTGGCTGGCTAGCTGCTGAGTTCTGCTTTGTCAATAAGGTTGATAATTTCATATTTTGTCACTTTTATCTTCCTTAGTTCTTTAGACTCCTTTCCAGAATACATACATTCAAAAACAAATACCTATTTAATCAGACTGGCTTTCTCCCATTCTTTAAGAACAGTACAGCTTTAAGAAAGTTATTGAACTGTCTAATACTCATTAAGATGCTATGAGAACAGATATGTATTTGATCTGATGGGATTTTTATTGAAATGTTTCTTCTTGATCAAATGTTGTCTTCAGGAACATTGTGGATAATAAATGAGCCTAGATTAAATCTGTCTTTTTGTACCTGTTATACAATTAAGTGCTGCCCTTCCCCATCATCCCTTTATAGGGAAGGAGGGCAAATGGGAGGCTTTCTCTGCATTTGATGAAAATGGATGGAGAAGCTCCTGAAGTGGAATATGCTTAATTTTGATCTTCTGATCTTTCTCTGAGAAAGGAAATGAAGCATAATAGAATGGACTACCACTAATAAGCAGGTATTGCTCATAGAAAAGGGTTCTCTGTAGAAGCACAAAACACATCAATTCAGAAGAGCCTCCGAGAATTTGCTAGTGTCAGTTTATATGTCACTTAAGCATTTGTGTACTGTTGGAAAGCTTTTCTTTACTGTGAAGTAATGCAAGCAGCCAAATGCTGGTTATTAACCATATTGTCTGAAGTCAGGGCCAGCCCAAGTGAGTGTAGCAAATCACCAAATGGTGCTGCCACACACCAAATTTAAGGTCAAATCCTTTGATAATGTTGACTTTAAAGGAACATTTTATTTCAGAGTGTGTGCCACCATCTCAAAACACAACACTGAATTTCAAAGAAACAGCTTTATTCTTCAAGCAACATTTTATTTCAGTTTCCTTCTTCCTCATATTCTTCAACTAGTTTCAAAGAGTAATAAATATACACTGGCAGCCTATCACATTATGTCCCTCAGCCCTCCCTACATTGATTTCAGAAGATTCAGTGTGCTTCAAAGGAGCACCTGATTTTTAAAAACAAAAATATGCTAATAAAAACCAAATCATAATCTGTGAAGCAGATAACAAAGTGCAGTCAGATTTTCTGTATGGTTAACGGATTAAACACTTACACTATTTTGGAAAAAAACTGAAAATTTTATGTCCCATTTTATACTTGGGGATCATCAAGACTTCAGCTATTGGAGATTCAGGGACACAGCTTCTCCCGTGGAACTCTAGCGGTATTGTGGTGCTGCTCTATAAAAATTGGCATTGAATGTTGTAGGTTAAGTTGCAAGGACGTAAAGGTGGCTGCTCTGGATGCTAGTTTCCTGCAGCTAGCTGCTGCTCCAGGAGCCTTTGCACACACAAACAGATGGTTCTGATTTGGCTACCCTACCAAGAGTTTAAATTTACCGGCGGCAGCATTATGCAGCTGTCAAAAGGTCCATCTGCCTCAAGCAGCTGTCCGGGCACTTGCCTGACTGCTTGCTTGGGAAATTGCATGTTTCCGTGTTCTCAGGCACACACACACTTTTTGTTGCTACTTCTTCCTTATTGGGAAGGGAATCAGGGCCATCTGCCTAATAGCTTTAATCAGAAAGGTTGTTCCTCCCCCACTCCCCGCAAATACCCTGCTTGTATCTTTTTGGTAGATACATGTCTGTGTACAATGGCCTTTCTGGGGCACAGACAGCTGCGTAGGATTTCTTGGCCCTACATTCAATATGTTTGTGTGCTGCTGAGAGTAACTGATACACACTCCCCATTACTGTCCATTTGCATTTGATTTTGAACACGCTAATGATTACAGCTGAGAACCTCAAGTTTATATCATATTCCAGTTTAACCATAGGTTTAAGAATGACTTTTTAACCAAGGTCATTCCACATACCCAAATATTTTGCTTTGTTTCATTGTTCTCTGAGTGCCAGAATAAGCTTTGTGAAAGCTTGCCGCTTTTAAATCAGTTCACAGATCATTCCTTTAAACCAAAAGCTAAGATTTAGAGCTGAGAACACTAGTTACCATCAGTGTTTTAATACTGGGAAAAAACGAAAAGGGAAAAAAGAGCCTTGTCCCAAGTATTGTAAATCTTGTGACCCAGTTGAATTCCTGGCCGTCATGAGATTTTGCCCTTCAGTCTTTGAATGATTGGGATCATCTGACCATCACCAAACAGGCCAAGTAAGGCCAAGAAGACTCCGTGTCACCTCTGAAGGCTGTTGTAAGCTCTCCCTTCCCTAAAGCAAATGGGGAAAGGGGCTACAGCAGCAGTGAAGAGGCAAATGACAATATTGGATAAAATGCTGCTGTAACCTTTATGAAATATGGGAAGGATAAATTGAGTGCAATGAAAAAATGGAAGTGAAGGAAAGGATCTCATTTCATATTTATCACTAGAGAGCTAGTCTGGCTATCCATGCCATATGGTGTCTGTTGGATGTCATGCTCACAGAGAAGCCTAAAGCATCAATCCTCAAGCACTGTGAGTCAAGTAAGCTGCAAGCAAGGACCATATGTAACTCCTGCAAAGATCAGCAGGTTGGTTCTTGACCTACTGCCCTACTCCTGCCTTTATTATACAGACCTTGGAAACCATAGATTTTATCTCCAGCCTTTTAAAACTCAGCCTCTTCCAAATCAACCAAGACAGCTACAGTTCCTGCACTCATTTTGAAAGAGTGTGGCGCACTATGGGGCTAATTCAGCATGGATGCCTGGCTTGGCAACAGTTCTTAGTCTTTCCCAGTCCAAGCTGTCTTGGACTACTCTGCCCACCAACTGCCATATCTGCAGAATGAGAAACTCTGAGTGTGCTCTTTGGTTCCCATCCAGGCACTGTAGGGTTCAGTACTCCAGCTGCATTGATGGACTGCCTAGTTTCCTAACCTTGTGCCTGATTGGCTGTATCCTGGTTGATATGGGAAATGGCATGTAGCTTGCTTTCACAGTGAGATCTTGTTCCCCACTTTCCAGCAAGAAAGAAACAGGGGAAACGTGGATTAATATTTTCTGATTCTTCTTGGGGAAATACCCCTACCTGTCTCATTGGTGCATAGGCACAAAGCCGTCACCATTTTATGAAGTGGCCACCACATTAGTTGTGTGTGTACACATGCTCACCTCCCTCAATTTCCATTGCTGCCTCCTCATCTTTTTTTACAAGGCTCCTTCTTACTTGGAGATTTTATCTGCAAAGGACCCTTTCCAACCTCATGCTGGTCACTCCTGATGAGAAACCCCATGCTATTCATGTTTGCTTTCTTGCTTTATCTTAAGGGCAGTAGTGTTAGAATTTGGCCATTGATACAATAGTAAGCTGTGAAGGCCCTGCCTCTTGCTGCTCGACCCTGTGCTTTTGAGTTGACCAGGTGACACCAAGTGGCCAGGAGATACCTGGCTCACATGGGTGACTATATGAAATAGATGGCAGGTCTTAGTTCTCTGTAACCCACAGCACAGTATAAAGTGGCTGAGGGCCCTTCTCGCACTTCCTGTGGGCCAGCCCCCAGCTGTCACATCTGCAAAGGTCTAGGTGGGTGAATGGCCTGCCAGCAAGCCACCTGAGATTAACACCTCTCTCTGTATGGATGAACTACTCCACCTCTACTGGCCATTGATACAATAGTAAGCTGTGAAGGCCCTGCCTCTTGCTGCTCGACCCTGTGCTTTTGAGTTGACCAGGTGACACCAAGTGGCCAGGAGATACCTGGCTCACATGGGTGACTATATGAAATAGATGGCAGGTCTTAGTTCTCTGTAACCCACAGCACAGTATAAAGTGGCTGAGGGCCCTTCTCGCACTTCCTGTGGGCCAGCCCCCAGCTGTCACATCTGCAAAGGTCTAGGTGGGTGAATGGCCTGCCAGCAAGCCACCTGAGATTAACACCTCTCTCTGTATGGATGAACTACTCCACCTCTACTCTACTCTACTCTACTCTATGCCCTACCTGAGCCAAAAGGCCCATGGGCGGGCCACGGGAAGGAAGTGTGAGAATGGGAACAGGCACCCCATGAGCTGTGTTCTCCCATCCCAAGGTATAGCATATTCCCACGGCTTGTTGGCTAACAATGAGGATGGGAAATGTTGACCAAGGATTTTTATAGCCTCATCCAGACTCTTATTCCAAGACTCATGACAGACGCAGATTGCCAGCTCAGGCTAATCCAATAGTACTGGGTTACTGATTGCCAGCTCTCATGAGATTTTGACCTTTGGTTATTTTTCTGAGGGCCAACAGGAATCTAGCCAAAAATTAATTCAATTAATTGGTATCTTCCAAGAGTGCCTGCAGTTGTGCTGCCATTTTGTTTTTCGAAGTGTTCCAGAGAACCTTGTGATAGAGTGAGAATCTTGTCAGGGACTTCCATGATGTTAAAATGCGTCCCTGAAAAATATTCAGTCTTCTCTTTTTCATCTGTACACAGCCATAGGAAAGCCTTCTATGGTAAAGGAGCTAATCATTCAAATGATGACACAGAGGCAGACATCACTCATTTACATGTATACATGCACCTGTAATAATATCTGTTTCCCACGGAGCACTGTTTTCCTGGGAGTGCTCTTTTTCTCCCATGGAACCACAGAGCATAGTGGTTCCATGGGAGACATGCAAGGGTTCCTTGTCTGTTGAATTGATGTTAAAAGGGTCTCTTGAAGACTAAAAAAGCCCTTTATACTGCTAGGGTTTTTTGTGGGGGGTGGGGGTTATGGTTCGACCTGCATGTTCCATTGTTGTGTGTGTCTTTTTAAATGATGTTACCAGAAAGTAGAGAGTAGAAAGCACCTGATAAAATATTGACACTCTGAGCCAGCAACCCCTGCTTAAGGTATTAAGCTTTCTGCATCACTTTCAGGGATGAAGTAATGTTTCTTGTTTGCATAATCTGGAAAGTATTTGAGGTGCTTGTTAAGTGCAGAACATTTATGAGAAC